ACACTTAAGAGCGTTGGGAACGACACTTAAGACCCTTGGGAACGACACTTAAGACCCTTGGGAACGACATTTAAGACCCTTGGGAACGACACTTAAGACCCTTGGGAACGATACTTAAGACCCTTGGGAACGACATTTAAGACCCTTGGGAACGACACTTAAGACCCTTGGGAACGACACTTAAGACCCTTGGGAACGATACTTAAGATCCTTGGGAACGATATTTAAGACCGTTAGGAATGATATTTGGGTGGTCCACGTGCAGCAGACCCCAGCAGGTGGTCCACGTGGAGCAGACCCCAGCAGGTGGTCCACGTGGAGCAGACCCCAGCAGGTGGTCCACATGGAGCAGACCCCAGCAGGTGGTCCACGTGGAGCAGACCCCACTCACCTGGAAGGCAGCTTCATATTTGGCGAGGGCGTCGGCCACAGACGCTGTTGGAGGCAACATGAACCAAAGATGGACGGCCACGCAGCGCTTCCAGTCCAGCTCTGAGCACACGTTCACCACAGAGTCCGAGGACTGCCAGACCTGCAGCACCGAGCAGAAACCAGGTCAGAACCAGGTCAGAACCAGATGAGAACCTCCTCAGGACTGTGGTGTGTGAAGAACTCACAGGTTTCCCAGCCAGCAGGCTGAAGATGCGCAGGCGCTCCTCACTCAGGTAACAGTCTGTCTGCAGCTGGTTCCAGTCTGCCAGCTGCAGGGCCAGCAGGTCTCTGCAGAGCTGAGAGCCCACAGCCTGAGACAGCAGCAGGGACAGGCGGTGGTCTCCTGCAGACAGAGGGGGGGTCACATGGTGTCCAACAGGAAGTGGGTTTCAAACCGACAACCAGTGGTCCTCACCTTCCTTCTGAGCCAGCCGACACGCCTCGCTGATCCTGCCGCCTGTCAGGAAGCTGAAGATGGCGTGTGTGTGGTGACCTTTCCCCGACAGACACGCCTCCTCCTCCACCCTGCAGGAGGCGCCGCGGGACAGCCACGCCGAGAAGCTCCGCCTCCTCTGCAGCTGCTGCTCGTACTCGCCGGGCGGCTCGGGGTCCGGCTCCTGGTCCGGGGGGCCCAACCGGCCCCACAGGGCCTCGCACAGGGTCCAAACCTCAGCCCAGTCACCCAGGAGGGCTGCAGGGGACAGGAGGCGGGGTTAGATAACAGGGGGACTGGAGGCGGGGTTAGACAGTAGGAGGCGGGTCAGACAGAGGAGTCAGACGAAGGAGGCGGGGTTAGATAACAGGGGGACAGGAGGCGGGGTTACACAGAGGTGGCAGGGTTAGACAGTAGGAGGCGGGTCAGACAGCAGGTAGGTCAGGGGTCTGACAGGTTTTATCATGACACCACTCACGCTCGGCCCCGCCCATCTTGGCGTTCAGCTCACAGATCCACTCTGCGTAGTGGTGCAGCGCCGCCACGCCCTCCTGAGGACGCACCACAGGACAGGTGGTCCCATCAGGAATACTGACGGTGCTGTTCTTCAGACAGATCTCCAGGGGGCGCTCCAGGACCGCCTGGCTCTCATCATCATCATCCTCACTGAGTTTCTTCTGAGGGGGGTCCAGACCCACCAGCTGCTCCAGGACCACCTTGTAGGGACTTTCAGTCAGCCTGAAACATAAGGATCACTTGATTAAATGCTGAGTCATCATTTTTACATTTTATTGTTACAACTGTTCAGTTTGTACGTTTTATTATGACTACTTTAGCTCCTATTTGTTATATTCGGCTTTCAGTTAGCTTGTAGCTACGTTCAGCAGCTAGCCTGTAGCTACGTTCAGCAGCTAGCCCGTAGCCACGTTCAGCAGCTAGCCTCTAGCTACGTTCAGCAGCTAGCCTCTAGCTACATTCAGCAGCTAGCCTCTAGCTACATTCAGCAGCTAGCCTCTAGCTACATTCAGCAGCTAGCCTCTAGCTACATTCAGCAGCTAGCCTCTAGCTACATTCAGCAGCTAGCCTCTAGCTACGTTCAGCAGCTAGCCTCTAGCTACATTCAGCAGTTAACCGGTAGCTACGTTCAGCAGCTAGCCTCTAGCTACGTTCAGCAGTTAACCGGTAGCTACGTTCAGCAGCTAGCCCGTAGCTACGTTCAGCAGCTAGCCCGTAGCTACGTTCAGCAGCTAGCCTGCAGCTACATTCAGCAGTTAGCCTGTAGCTACATTCAGCAGCTAGCCCGTAGCTACGTTCAGCAGCTAGCCCGTAGCTACGTTCAGCAGCTAGCCTGCAGCTACGTTCAGCAGCTAGCCTGTAGCTACATTCAGCAGTTAGCCTGTAGCTACATTCAGCAGCTAGCCCGTAGCTACGTTCAGCAGCTAGCCCGTAGCTARGTTCAGCAGCTAGCCTGCAGCTACGTTCAGCAGCTAGCCTGTAGCTACATTCAGCAGCTAGCCTGTAGCTACATTTAGCAGCTAGCCTGTAGCTACATTCAGCAGTTAGCCTGTAGCTACATTTAGCAGCTAGCCTCAGCTGTCTCTCAGCACTGAACAGAACTTATTTGAAGAATCTGGTTCTGGGTCAGACCCGGCCCAGCTGAAACTCACGGTTTGGTTCTGGCTGGTTTGGGCAGGAAGCTGAAGTCCGTCTTGGAGCTGACTTCCTGGTACTCCAGCTGTTTGGACTGTGGCGAGCTGATCCGTTTTCCGCAGTGAGCCAGAGTCCAGGCCGGACCCCAGCCCACCCTGAAGGAGCGGGTGGCAAACAGACCCGTGTCCATGAGCAGCGCCCCCTGCAGGAGAACCACAGGCTGGTTACAGGACATGTGGGCTCGGTACCAGAGTCTCAGACCAGACATCAGGACCACTGAAGGCCCGTTTGGACCCTGATCCAACACCAACCTTCCCCTGAGTCACTGACTCTTTGAGAGGAACCGGACCCCCCAGCCGCCGGACTCCCACGGTCCTGATTGGAGGTTCTGGAGCCCGAGGAGGCAGCTGAAAGGAGGCGGGGCCCGGACCCTTCCACTGCAGGGGCCGGGAGGGGTCCGCCGGCACCGGAAAGCCCCGGGACAGAGAGGGAGGTGGGCGGGGAGTGTCCGAGAAGAGGCTGGAGGTGAAACGGGTCTGAAGAAGACCTCCGACTGTGGAGAGACGAAGGTCAGAGTCAGACAGACAGGAAGTCTTCATCAGGAGGAAGAGGAGGGTGAAGGGGTTTGGTACCGGAGGGTCGGCTCAGAGGTCCCAGGCGAGGGGACGAGACYTCAGAGACCTTCGTCGCTGCGTGATGAAGGAACATGTCGCCCTCCTCCTCTTCCTCGGTGAACAGAGACGCCTTCATGATCTGAACAACAAACAGGAAGGTCATTCACGCAGCACAGGAAGTGATGTAATCAGGCCTAAACTAAACACRGTTTCTTCACATTCAGTCAGAATCAGATTTTACTTTGAAAATCCTCCTTTCAAAATAAAAAAACAGATTTTTAATAATCTGTAAATCAGATTTATTTATTTATTTAAGGATCTAAAGATGAATAATATCACATGTGGAGTTCCTCAGGGTTCTGTGTTAGGACCAAAGTCTTTAAAGATGAATAAGAGCAGATATTTTAAACCAATGGTCAGTGTCTTCATTTGTTCCTTCTGACTGTTTAATGTAGTTATTTTTGTGACTTCAACACAGAGGTGTCACATTTTCATGTGTAGCTTTTTCATTTGTTTGTTGAACAATGTACTAGTTTCTCTTCTGTATTTGTGTGTGAACCTGTAAACTGCTGAACTGAGGATAAATAAAGTCTGAATCTGAATTATTAAAGAGGATTCTCAGAATAAACTCTTTAATTCACTCAGAGGATTTGTTTTAATCTCAGCATGAATTTAATTTATTTACAGTTTGAGTTTAGAAATCAAACATTAGAAGACATCAGAACCAGAACCAGGCCCGTAGAACCCCTCAGTGGGGTCCTAACCAGGCTAAATAAAGCCCAGCTTAGTTAAACTGGTCATCTTGACTCCACACATCAGAGCAGTGGGCAGAGCTCTACCTGCAGGGTGTGCGGGTTGATCCCCAGCGACGAGGCGATGTGTCCGGACGCAGACACGTCGTCGCGCTCCCACGCCTCCGTGTCGGCCGCCGGCAGCTCGCCGCCCTCCTCGGCTCCCGGCGCGCTCTCTGCAGACAGGCTCTGAGTGATGTCGGCCATGTCGCTGTCCAGCTCGGCCACGCCCCCTGCCAGCTCCACGGCAGCAGACTGAAGACAGGAGACAACACCCGACAGTTACAGGCAGGAAGCTGAGGAGCCGACAGGAGGCGCTTTGATCTTCAGCTGAGTGTAATTCTTTTTAAAGATTTAAACAAAAAACTTCAAAAGTACCTTCAGTTACTTTAATCTTTATTAAATTATAAAAGTCACACAGTTAAAACAGCTTCATCCAGAGGTTTAGACATGATTCAAACATCAGTCAGAAACAAACAGTTCACAGCTTTTCTGACTAAACCTGAGCAGAAATATAAGACTTCCTGAAGGTTAACTCAAGCCGAGTTTAATCTGATGAACTCAAACATTCATCATCATCATCATCATCAGACCTGCAGCCTCTTTCAGATCAGATCATAAAAACCATCAAATGTTTCAAACACTTAGCGTTTAATAAAAACTGAAGAACAACATCAACTTAAACCTGACTTTGTGACGAGTCAGGATTTAAACCTGACTTTGTGACGAGTCAGGATTTAAACCTGACTTTGTGACGAGTCAGGATTTAAACCTGACTTTGTGACGAGTCATGATTTAAACCTGACTTTGTGACAAGTCAGGATTTAAACCTGACTTTGTGACAAGTCAGGATTTAAACCTGACTTTGTGACGAGTCGTGATTTAAACCTGACTTTGTGACGAGTCATGATTTAAACCTGACTTTGTGACAAGTCATGATTTAAACCTGACTTTGTGACGAGTCAGGATTTAAACCTTTGTGACGAGTCATGATTTAAACCTTTGTGACGAGTCATGATTTAAACCTTTGTGACGAGTCATGATTTAAACCTTTGTGACGAGTCATGATTTAAACCTTTGTGACGAGTCAGGATTTAAACCTGACTTTGTGACGAGTCATGATTTAAACCTGAGTCTGATGGATCCCAGCAGAGTTTAACCCTTTAATTAATGTTTAAAGCAGAAACACAGAGTCTCCAGAGATGAAAATAAAAGGATTAAAACAGGTTTAATGAGCTGAAAACTAATCAGCTCGTCAATCAAACACTAAAAATAATTCAACGTTGGTTGTTTGAAACACTCCAGTGAGGATGAGGAGGAGGAGGAGGAGTGAGGAGGGTGGCAGGCCGCTCTACCTGAGCCTGCGGCGCCACCTGCAGCGGCGGCGGCGGCAGCAGCCCGGAGGCAGGAAGTGAGCAGGTTTTCAGCTTCTTGGGGTCAGTTTTGGGCGGGACGTCTTCATCCTCATCAGAGTCCTGCAGGCCGTATTTGGAGAAATGAGCCACCTGAGAAAGAGAGAGAGGGGGCGGAGCCTGTTACACCTGCTGAGATTGACAGCAGAGAACACTCAGGTGGTTCTGAGGGTGGAGCAGCGACACACCTCAAAYACCCAGGACCCGGTCTCGGGGCGGTACTCCAGGAAGCGGGCCCCCTGTTTCCTGGAGGCCTTCTCCAGSCGGCCCTCGTAGTTCATGTCTGCCAAACGCTCGGGGCTCCTGATCTGAGTGCAGCTCGTCTTATCGTTGGGCCACACGCCGTCCAGGGTRACCTCAGCTCGCCTGAACAACAACRGATGTCATACAYACGTCTAAAGACACCACCAAACCATGACACGTCACTCACCTGTTAAGCCCCTCCCCCTCCGGTGGCTTGTTTTTATCGTCAGGGTAGACGATGACCTCTTTGCGTCTGAAGTGGACGATCTCGTCCAGGTTCAGGCCCGTCACGTTCACCTCGCCGGGGAAGAAGATGGAGCCGTAACCTGCCGACCAATCAGAGACGAGAAGTGGGCCGGCCGTCCAATCAGAGCGTACCTGAGACACAGGTTTGTGGGCGTTACCTTTCCTGCCGACAGTGAAGTTCTCCACGACACACTCTCCGTTTTCATCCACCATGTCAGCCAGGTCCTCCAGGGAGGGGATGGTGTAGTAGCCCACCCTGTTCAGAACGATTCCTGCAAACAAGACAAACACTTCCTCTTCAGTTTCCTGATCCCGCCTCCACAGCCAGGTGGATACACCAGGTGATAAAGCTGATGATGACTCCGATCATTCTGTTTCTGACCTGCAGGATGAGGAGACTGCTGAGACTCCTGTGGCTCCTCCTCCTCCTCCTCCTCCCTGTCCTCCAGCAGAGACTCCTCCCCCAAAGACACGGACACGTCGTCGCTGCTCAGCTGAAAACCAACCGTTCCACAGACGTTAGACTCAGCAGTGAAACAAACTCTTCAGTGAGCTCCTTTTTATTTTATATAAACATGAATAAATCAAACTTCCTTATTGTGTCACAGAAATGTTTCTGTTTGCTGTTGAATCAGTCTGGTTATGGTTAGACTGGTTAGCTTCATGCTAGTTAGCTAGGTGCTAGTTCTGTCATGTACTACTACTAGTACATGCTAGTTCAGACTGGAGTTAGCTGTACACTAGTTGGCTTCATGTTAGTCATATACTAGTTAGCATCATGGTAGTTCAGACTGACATTAACTTCATGCTAGTTCAGACCGATATTAGCTTCATGCTAGTTAGCTTCAGGTTATTTAACTAGATGCTAGTTCTGCCTGATATTAGCCTTATACTAGTTAGCATCATGCTAGTTCAGAACATTAGCTTCGTGCTAGTTAGTTATATGCTAGTTCTGCCTGATATTAGCATCATGCTAGTTAGCCCTGTTGTCCCTAAAATGTCCACTCTGGGTTCTGRTGTGTTTCAGGACTTGTATAGTTCTCCTGTTTGAGTTGGTTCTGACCCGACCCGACCCACAGCCCAGCTGACCTCCAGGCCGCTCCTCTGCTGTTTGTGCATGTTCAGGTCACTGATGGTGTCCTGCAGAGCGGGCGGGGCTCGGCCATGGGGGATGGGCTTGGCGATGGGGTTGACGTAGAACTGCGTGACTTCCGGGTCGTCGTGGGTCCGGCTGCTGGGACCCGAAGCCTCCCGGAGCTCGTCGTCTGTTTGGCTGTGAGAGAGGAGCAGACACACCTGGTGAGCTCACCTGTAGACTGAGCGTCCTGTCAGAGACACAGGTACGTACCTGTGTCCGTTGTGAGGGTAGTCTGAGGGCGAGGCGAGGTCATCGCTGTCTTTGTTCAGCGGGCTGCTGTACTGACTGCTGTTCAGGTTCTTCAGAACCAGCTTCTTGATGCTCTTCCTGCAGGGAAAATAAAAACGTCTTTATTTAACCGTGTCCAGCGCCGGTCCCTTGGCCCCGCCCCCTGGTTGCCATGGTGAGTGGGCGGTACCTGGGAACGAAGGCTCCATTCGTGAGCGACGGCTCGTCGTCATCCAGACCGTCGAACAGCTGAGACTTGGATCCTCCGGAGGACGTGAGCGCTTTGGGCCGAACCCGGGTCGCAGGCCGGGGGGTCAGCTTGTAGTGAGTGGGCGTGGTCAGCGCCTTCTGGGCCGTGGGATTGGTGGGTTTCAGACGCTGTCAGAYCAAAGATCAGTTTAACAGCTGTTCTGCAGCCAATCAGCTGCTTCACACKGACTGAAGCTCCGCCCACTCACCTCCTCCTTCTTCTTGGGGTCAGACAGAGGGTTCCTGAACAGAGGAGAGTCTCCGTACGGAGAGTAGGCCAGAACATTCAGCTGCTGCTGCAGAACCGCCTGCTGCACCGCCGTGCTGTTTGGATCTGTGAGGGCTGGACGACACACGGGTCAGAACCAGAACCTAACCAGAGTGTCTGCAGGACCAGGTCCAGTCCAAATCAGAACCAGAACCAGCAGCTACTCACCGACAGGCTGCTGCTGCGGAGCTCCAAAACCCAAACTGGTGGTTCCGCTGRTGAAGCCCGTGGTTCCGAAGGTTCCCATGGTTCCCAGCGTGGTGCCCAGTTTGTTCTGGTTGTTTCCAAACAGACTGGGACCGGTACCGACTGTGGCAGATACAGAACCAGAGAAACTCATGTTAGATCACCTGACCTGACCCGACAGAACCAGCAGAACATGGTCCGAATAATGAAACTCAGAACTTGTTTTAAGGTTTGGTACCGGTTCCAAAGCTGGTTCCGAGTCCAGTCCCCAGGCCTCCGGTGGTGGCCTTGTTTCCAAACAGACCTCCACCAGCAGCGGTCCCTCCAAACCCTGCAGCAGGTCAGAACCAGCGGGTCAGAACCAGCGGGTCAGAAGAAGAACCAGCAGAGTCCATCAGAGTCCACTCACCAAAGTTAGAGGTGTTGGTTCCGGTTCCGAGGGACAGAGCGGGCTTGGCACCAAAGAGCCCGGTGCCGGTGCCGAAGGACGGGGCGCTGGTGGTGGTGGTCCCGAAGCCCGTCGTTTTAGGTCCAAAGAGACTCGGCTGCAGGAGAACAAACAGAACCGAGCCGTTTACTGCAGAACTTTGAGTAGGAAAATATTCATACAGTGAAATATCTCAATATTTAATTTCCTGATCCTGGTTTTTATTTAAGGTTTAAAATGTCAACTTTACTGTCAACACTTCATTTGTATGATGTAGTTCAGCCTCTGAACACCAGGTGGCAGCAGAGAGACAGACATGTGGCTCCTCTGCTCCTGAGCAGCCAGAGTAACCGTAGCGTTAGCATGATGAGTAAACATTAGCTTCACGAGTAAACATTAGCACTGTGAGTAAACATTAGCATGGTGCGTAAACATTAGCATGATGAGTAAACATAAGCTTCATGAGTAAACATTAGCATGGTGAGTAAACATTAGCATGGTGAGTAAACATTAGCATGGTGAGTAAACATTAGCATGGTGGGTAAACATTAGCATGGTGAGTAAACATTAGCATGGTGAGTAAACATTAGCATGGTGAGTAAACATTAGCTTCATGAGTAAACTTTAGCATGTTGAGTAAACATTAGCATGTTGAGTAAACATTAGCTTCATGAGTAAACATTAGCATGGTGAGTAAACATTAGCACTGTGAGTAAACATTAGCATGGTGAGTAAACATTAGCACTGTGAGTAAACATTAGCATGGTGAGTAAACATTAGCTTCACGAGTAAACATTAGCTTCATGAGTAAACATTAGCTTCATGAGTAAACATTAGCATGGTGAGTAAACATTAGCTTCATGAGTAAACATTAGCATGGTGAGTAAACATTAGCATGGTGAGTAAACATTAGCATGGTGAGTAAACATTAGCATGGTAGTAAACATTAGCATGGTGAGTAAACATTAGCATGGTAGTAAACATTAGCATGGTAGTAAACATTAGCATGGTAGTAAACATTAGCATGGTAGTAAACATTAGCATGGTGAGTAAACATTAGCATGGTAGTAAACATTAGCATGGTCTCGTTCAGGGAGCTGTTCTTCAGACTGCAGTCAGCATCATGTTATGGAAGGCAGGTGTCTAATGCCTCCAGCTCAGGGGGTGTTGTGTTAAAATATGTTKCCCTGTGTCTGGAGGGCACACTGCAGCCATAGAGGCAGATCAAACCATTTTCACAGCGTTTCTGATCGATTTCTTGGTAAAAGGACTCACACAATCTTGTCAAGGTAACTTTCAGTTTAATCATCAGCTGCTGTTAAAAAACAAACCTGTAAAATGAATAAATAAATAAAACTGGTCTGTTTTAATCACAAAGACAACCAGTCCTCATGTTGTCTTTASCCTCASTGTTTATCAGACACACATCAGTGTCTTCCAACACATTGTGTGGATTTATAATTGTATTATTGCTGATACAAGAACCAAATACTTCAGTTGTTTAAATAATCTGTTCCTCCTCTGTAAGATGGGAACTAAATAATTACCTCCTGTAAGTCTGTAAGTGTGTTAATTCCTGTCATCAGATTGGGGAACATCTGCTCTTTAGTGGTTAAAGTTACGTGGAGGTAGGTCTGCCACAYACATTATTTTTATAGTTGACTAACTGGATCAAACGTTAAAATCCTTCAGAACATCGTACCGTTTGATAAATAAGGTGAGATTAGTGGACCTACAGCCCTGCAGAACCACACAGAACTTTATTCAAAGGAACCACTTAGTAAAAAGACMTTGAAACCCGTCCCGGGTCGTACCTGTGAGACGTTTCCAAACCCGGCGCTGGGGGCTCCGAACAGACCCGAGGCCGCTCCAAACCCAGTGGCGGTGCTGGTCTGGGTGGTTCCGAACAATCCTCCAGGCTGGGAGGCCGCGGTGCTTCCAAACAGACCCTGAAGGTACCAGAAGCAGACTTTAAGAAAGCTTCGTTCTGATGTAGAAACGGGTCCTGGACCTGTGGTTCTGGACTCACCATGGCGCTGGTGTTGGGCTGGCCCATGGTGTTGGTGTTCCCGAAGCTGAAGCCGGTGCTCTGGGTGGTGGTGGTGGAACCGAAGGGCTTGAAGAGGCTGCCCGCCGGCTGCTGGGCCGGCTGTCCAAACATCCCTCCTGTGGTGGTTCCGAAGGTTCCTGTAGCTGCTGGAGAACAGAACCGGGTCAGCTGGTCTCAGSTTTATGTCATGTCGTCACCTTGAAGAACTCACTGGCTCCAAACGTGGTCTTGTTGGCCCCGAAGTTGAAGCTGGAGTTGGAGGCGGAGCCTCCGAACAGACCCGTGGCGGCGCTGGACGTGGCCGTGGCGCCTCCGAACAGACCGCCGGTTCCTGGAGCCATGGGGTTGGCCGGACCCTTCCTGCCCGCCTGGTAGTCCTCCAGCCGCAGCTCCTGGTGAGCAAACAATCAGAGGTGTTTACCTCTGGTTCTGATGAGAAGCCAGCTGCCCGACCCGGTCCAGCTCACCTCCAGAGACTTGTTCTCGTACTCCTTCATGGCCGTGATGCACTGGTGTTTGGTGTTGATGCTCGTGGTCACGCCTGCCTTCACCATCGTGTCACTTCCTGTCGGAGGCTGAGGGAGAACAGCTGTCAGACCGAGGACAGACCTGGACCCACAGGTGGTCCTGGTCCTGGGGGGCCGCAGCCCTACATGTTTCTAACACACCTGATGCAGTCACTGATCTACCTCTTCATGTTCTGCAGTGTGGAGGACCGACACTGACATCATTACAAATAAAACCTTTAAATAAATACATTTAAAATTAACCAAATAAATTAAAAATAACTTTACC